AATAATAATAATAATAGTAAAAATAAATAAGCAGAGTAACAACTCTGACCAATCACGGTTCTGCGAACCATTGCAAAACTCGATGTAAAAACAACTATGGCTGGAACGAAGTGCCGGAACATCACTTATGATTTTGGCAAAGTGGCGTGAGATCTCTATTAAACCAGTAGATCTCAACCTACACTCATGTGAAAACCGCTCTTTGTGAAATGAGCCCAAATGAATCAAAACAAAATGTGTGATTTTGTATGCCGCAAGTTCCAACTCTCCCCTAGCAACATACCTGTATTCGTTCGCTTTTCAAAGCGGTCTACTGGTGAAAATGTGGCTCGTAAGCCGGCCATGAGCTGTAAGATTTGGAAAAAAAACCTGGGTATGCTTTTGGGTGGAGTTTCACACTATTGTCCTATCCATGCAAGGACGCAAAGTGCTCAAATTGAAAATTATTTTCAAATTATAGTGGGAGTGATCACATGAAAAAAACAAAACAAAACAAAACAAAACAAAACAAAACAAAGCAAAACAAAGGAACAAACAAACAGAAATTGAGAGCACTAAGACAAAGGCGGAGCTCCAGTTCAAGTTACAGCAAGTTTTTTTTTCAGTTTTCAGGAGAGATTTTTCAACAACTTGACAAAAGTCACCTCAAGGAGCAACTGTCGGCTCATCTTCAAGCCTTTTCAGGTAAATTCAGCAGGTATGGAAAGCCTTCGCATCACTTGCTCTCTTCTGGCAGCTCCACCACATTCGATGACCTTTATCCGGCCCATGGTGCTTGTTTTTAGGACACCGAATCCAAAACAAAGGTGACTCCTCCGGCAAATACGTAAATTAGTTCATAACAATGACCAAATAAATGTAATTTAATGCATTTACACGTGAAGTAATTCTCGCTTGATGATTGTTCAAGAAACTATTCTTACGAGCTGTGCGAAGTTGTTTTGGATGTAGACCCCAATCTCCACGGTATCTAGTATTGGCCTCCCTAGTTCCAGCCTCCTCATGGCGGGGTTCAATCTGCATGCGTGACTGCCGTGAACCGCACGCACTGTTCACGTGCCTACAGGACTCTGTTCCCTGTTCCTGGACAAGCTCCAAATCAATGGCAAACACACAGTGCAGTTTGAGGAGTCTAGAATATGAAGGAGATTTCAAATCAGGGGAATCGCGTGCAGTCTCTGAGAATTCTTCGGCATTCTAGTGACGTTCATTTAAAGAAATTAACCAAACATTTACAGTTCTTCATTAATCATATTTGTTATGTGTGCCTTTAAGTTTATTTTATTTATTCAGGAGCCTGTTTTGTGTTTGTTTTTTTTCTAACCTCCTGTCTAAAATTTCCAAAATCGTTTGAACTATAAATTGAAAAATTAAAAAGGTCCTATTTCCGGTTAAAACTTCCCTGCGCGCCCAATGAACTGTACAGTATATTCATTTCCGGTCTATATATTCCACACCGTGACGAATTTTATAGTTGACTGTGATGGTATGTGACTGGTCCGTACGTTTAAGGCCATTTGACAAAATATGATAACTTCCCCGTTGTTAAAACAAATGTTGACCTCAACTGCCGTTCTTGTTTCCTTGTTTGTAGTCATTCGGTGACTAACCGTCAAAAATGTGGTTTCCGCCCGAAGATGGCGCAGAATTATATGATTTTGAGCTCGAGCCTGGAGGTCGCTCAGATGAATGGGGATACATTGACGAAAGGGATGAGCTGAGACGATTGATTCTGTATTTGGTACTCGAGAAGAATTCTTTGCTCGTTAAACTACGCGGTTTGAGCGCTTTGCGCGAGGTTTTACAAAGCCATAACACAAAGCGGGAACACGAACAGACAAATTTCTACGAATGCATTGGTAGCGGTAAGTTGGGGGCGGAAAATTCTCAAGAGCTGACTCTCAGCACGGGCGCTTGTGCTCAAATGCAGACACGACAAACCCAAAGGGCTGAAAAATTGCAAAAGGATGAAGGGCCGGTCTCTTTAAAGGATGATAAGAAGCAAGACGTTTGCACATACACAGACAGCTTCAAGGTGAGTTGTTTTGTTCTGGATGACAAGTGTAACTCGATCCGTCACGAGAGAGCATGCTTGCAATGTTATTGTGATTTCCAAGTCCTCAGTTATATTTGATACCTCTCGGAGTGGCTCACGAACAGAGGAGTTCTTTTGTTGACTTTGTTTGGTCGCACAACTGAACACTGGCCGCGACATCTTCAGCTCACGAATCGATTCACCACGTGCTTGTTATCATTTCTTGGACACAAATCTAGTAAGTTTATTCTTTGTTTTGCAAATTATGCATTCTGTCGCTGCTTGGCTTTCCCCGCCTACTCTGTACGCTGTGTTGCGCGCAATGCAGTCAGGTCGCTTCGATCGACTTCCACAAAGCTTATTTGCAAAACACAGCTGCACTTTCACAAAAGAAGCCTGAAAACAGGCTACAGTGCGACGTCATGAAACTGTCTTTGAGCGGAATGACTCCATTTGTGATCGGTGAGTTTGTTAATTCTCTGTTTCCGTGTGTTGACCGAGATGTCATTTCGACGTGGAGAGCTTTTGTTGGGTCTTTCGTGAAGGCACATGCGATGACTATATTAAGTTACACTCGATTTTCGCTTCTGTTACGGCTCGTTCGGCCTCTCCTCTTCATTCATACTCCAGTACATAATAACAGTTTCCATTCACCGACGGTCTCTTTAAAATTACATTGTGAGCATTCAGAGCAAATTAAGCGTAACAAACGATTGTTCCATGGTTCAAAGCCTGGCGGTTTTTGTGTCGTTTTGATCGAGCGAATCGATTGTTCGCTAACAAAGCGGAACACACTCGTGCTCTTAATCGACTACATTTCCGCTGTTGTTTTTAAAGTGTTCCTCTGAAATCAAAGTTTAAGGTTCCATGCACCGATTCAAGCCTATCCGAGCTGAACTCAATGCGACTTCCCTTTGTTTTCCTTTAGATCCGATCGCGTGCCAAATAGCACTCCGCATGCTGCATGCTGGGGATGTTCATTTTATTTCATGAATAAATGCACTTTCTTGACGGCTACATTCCTTGTTTTTTTTCTCGTATGCGACATTTTCGAATGAATGTGCTTGCAGATTTGTGTTCTTATTGCGTGTTTAGCGAAGGCTTAGGTCTGTCCTTGCTTGCATGACGTGAGTATAATGTAATTCGATGCGAAGATCGCACCTCTGTGATTGTGTCTGCTGTGCACGCCTGGTCGCAGATGTTAATATTATAATTCGATTTTCCAAGGCATGGTAGTCTAAATTAGCCCGACAATAGACTCAAGTGTGAAATTTCTACCGTGTTTATGACGCATTCATGTGTGTTATTGGCGTTACAAGTTGACACGCTGAAATAGATTTCTATTCGGATGATATTTGCTTGCGAGAGATAATGTTCCTAGACAAGTGGTATTTGGGGTTTTGGAATTTTCTCTATTGTTCTCTAAATCGCTTCGGGAATATTAGACATCTTTTTTTCAAAAACCGAGACCTTTATGCGATATTGTGATGATTGTCAAGTTGTGTCACTACATCAATTGGGACTCGCTTTAGCACTAAGCATTCTTCTATAGCTTCCTCTTATGTCTGAAAGCGCTGTTAAGCGTTTCGTTGCGTTCACTGTTAATTTTGGGCTCCACAATTAGACAAAGCACCTTTATGCGCTTGTTTAACCCAAGAAGATTTAGGAATGACAGCTTAAATGGCACTTAGAACCTTGTTCCTATCCCGGGAACTAATGTTAATTTGTTCCTGTTACACTATGATCAAAACATTACTTCTACTTAGTGTTTTCACACGCTCCACTTAATATCAGTTAGGAGAATATCGTCCTACATAACGACATTATCACCTGGTTGATTATTTCATTTATTCTTTTCATCCCACCTGTCTGCCTTTTCAATAATATTGATATGAAAGCCAGGAGAATTTCAATCTTCATCACACATACACCAGGGGGTGTGTTCAATATTTGTTCACTTTCTCTTTTGTGTCAGCTCTATCCTGTAACTGAATATTTTAAAAAGTGATGTGTTTTTCTTTGTGCTTATTGTCTGATTGTTTTTTTATCCTAATTTTAACACTCAACAGCAGTTTGTTTGGGCCTGTTGTCTCTGCAGTTATCACTTGTAAATACTCTTACTTAGTGTGTATTATTATTTCTCTAGTGATTATGCATGTGAATTGCTCACAATAAACACTCAAAAGAACCATATAATTTGTTCATTTCAAAACATTTTGATTGGTGATATTGAAAAGTATCATGGGTTAAGTGTTTGTCCCAATTTCTGATTTTCTTTTCTAATAACTTAAAATGTTTATTCAGTGTTACAGTGCCTTGAAATCTTGAATGGTTCTGCTCAGTTGCTCTGGCTTCAGCACTCAAATTACAAGAGACACAAAGGGCCATCTGCACTATAGGACAATTTTTGTTTATTTTGCAAAATAAATTTGTCATCAGGTTCATGCTACAAGTGTGGATTGTGCTCTTCTGCCCCACTAAATTTGTTGTACCTTACTAAACTGCAAAAACACTGCCTCAAAGCAAGCCAATTTTTTGGAATTCAAAACTGGTAGATCTGTTGAAATTAATTAAAGCAAAAAGCTGTTTCTCCTCCAGTCCTCATCCTCATTCCTTATTGTACCCCACAGGACACCTAAGGCCATAATTTTCTCCTCCAGTAGAAGGTGTTAAATTCCGGATGTGATGGACAATTTGCAGTTAGCAAATAATTTTGTTTTTACAAGTGTGGAGACTTACAACCTGTACTAAAATGAAAATTTGGTGGAGACAAGATTTGCCATGAGTTTTGGTAGAGCTGAAAAAATTTTTATTAGTCTAGTGGAGATTGGGCCCGTAGTAAATATCAAACCTATGATAAGTTTTGTGTAATAAATACAGCTAAGCTAGAGCTACAAGAAATAATTGTTCTGTACTTTGTTTATGTGCAGGTGGTTTTTATTTTTGAAAGGTAGTTACTGTAGATATATGTTCACACTTAGCATGGCAGCCAATAAAATAGGCAAATACATAACTATAGATGGTTGTCTGCAGATTTTGTCTAAAATTAATTCTCTGTTTAACTGTCAAAGCTGTTAATTTTCTCTATAGCACTGCTTCTTCATCTCAGGCAGCACTTTTATATTAGATTAAATGTTGACTTGAACGCTGTTCAAAGATGTCATAAAGATTATGCGTACCATTTTATGACTGTATATATAGTACACGTAGGCATGACAGCCAGGACAGCAAGAACCCAAGAATTTTTTATTTTCTTTCAGTAATTTACTCTTTCCAAATTCACAGGGAAAATCCAAGTTACTGTGCCTTTCAATAACATGCGGACTCTAAAATTCAAAGCTCAACTGACAAGTGCGTTTTTCGCTACCGTCAATCAAATGTTTAGCGGCACCTCCCAGCTTCCGACTACTGCTGAGCGCAAGGTAATCAAATCGTTGAGCACAGTGTAGACAATGAAACAGTAGTTGGAATCGGTTGAGCTTTGAATTTTAGAGTCCGCATGTTATTGAAAGGGGCAGTAATTGCTAATGAAGGAGACTGTGGAATAAGAGCCAATTTTCTGCACATGGAGGAGTTTAGAACTGAGTGTCTTGATCATAAAGAATTCATCCCCAGCATTTGAACTCAAGGTCACTTCATCTAAGTTTAGTTGAGGGGGGGAAGGGAGGGGTGTGTGTCCATAGAGTGGAGAATGCATTTTGTCTGGAACATTGGATTGAACTTATTCAGTCCCTGAGCATCCCCACTTTATTCACAAGAGCGTCCCTTCTGAATTGAGTCTGATGTGCCAACCATTAGCCCACCTAACCTGCAATCCTCTCACAATGTTTGTTTATTTAAAGGGAAAAAAAAATGTTTCTGTCTTAAGGTTTTCACATGACTAAGAACTGCATGTACATGTAGCTTAGGCAATATTGATTCAAATTTCCTAAGTCCTATTTCTCACGTTTATTTCTTAGAATACAGATTTGATCAGAAACTTACAGCAAGCTAATAAAGAACTCCGGGGGCAAATCAGGCTGCTTCAAGAAGTCACTTGTGATTCCGAAGCAAACATCAATTGCTGTGAAAGTAAGTTACATGGACAAGTTTTCTAAAGACAATTGCATTCTATTACAAATTTTGAAAAATGGGGAATATCACTTCTATATTCCCAAATCTTAACTAGGAAAAGAATATTCAGTCATGTGAGGCATTTAGGGTTATCACTTGTGAGCAAAAATATTCGATAGATTATAACCAATCAGGATGATAGTATGTTTCTTGCCATTCACCTCAAACCTCTGAAGACAGTGTATAACATACCATGTTCATATATTCCTAATTTGTGGCTATTTTAATTACATGGAAATTGAATCTATGATGAGGGAGCATCATAGGCCTGCAGTGCGTGCAGAGAGCTAGATAATAAAGCTCTGAGGAGATAATATTGTTTGTTTTCAATTACAAAACAAAGCCCTGCTAGCAAGTTTTGAATGAATGAACGAGTGCATGAATTATGCATGCAGGATACATGCATGAATACATAGATGAATGAACCGGAAGGAATTAACCTCTATTTATGCGAAATGACACTAGTTAAGCTATGAGCTTGGGAAATGGTGTAAAAAAGTGAATTAAAATAAGAAAAAAAATGAGAAAATGATGGGTTTAAGTTAAGGGGGGGACCATTATTTTTTGAGTGGGGAGAGGTTGGGAAATTTTTTGAGGATTAGACATATTTTTATCACCTTTAGGTTGGGCATGGTTTTGTTTTTTGGGTGCACAATGGCTTGTGGAAGAATTTTTTTACCATCAAATTCATAATAATAATAGTTGAAAGCAGTTGTTCGATTATTTCTTCATGGTCCCCTTGCAAATCCCCCACCCTCCCCCCCCCCCAAAAAAAAACAACAACAACAACAATAATAATAATAATAATAATAATAATACTAGTTTTTGTAACAATAAACACTCCTCTTATATTTTTTTATAATACTAATACTAATACTAATACTAATAATAATACTAATAATAATAATAATAATAATAATAATAGCATTAGTCCATCCCTAATAATAATAGCATTAGTACATCCCTAATAAAAAGAATGCTCAGTTCTAGGGTTAGTCCCAAAAGATAATAAATATGCAATCAACTAGAGGGATTATTAGCACTGATGAACTACAAAATGTTCACTGAGCTAAAGAAAAGTCAAGATATGTATCCAGAGAGAATGGTATACTGTAGCATTCAATACTAGGAATTGATGTTTTCCACCTTGTGAATGGACAGTGAATGAAGCTGCACATGCATTTGATCATAGTATTGGCAATTCTTTAGGGGTGGACCATTTCAGTTTTGAGAGGGAGTGTGGGTGATTTGGTATAATAGCACAATTTGTTTTTAAATACTTCCACGCCATACACTAGGAAATGCTTTATTGGGCATGCATATGCATGATATTTTTTCTCCGTGTAAAATGTTTTCTTGGGTGATTTGGTATAATAACACAATTTGTTTTTAAATACTTCCACAGCATACACTAGGAAATGCTTTATTGGGCTTGCGTATGCATGATCTTTTGTTCTCCGTGTTAAATGTTTTCTTGGGCTCACTGATCGTGCATAGTATAAGAAGCTTGCAGGATATATATTCTTTTGCCAAAGTCGCCCACCCCTCCCTGAAAAGTTGAATGCCCAACCCTTAATAAGTCTGGTTCATCTCTGACTTGCAAAACTGTGTTTTATCTCTGATGTTATAGGGTGCTCAAGCTATCTCAAATCTCAGCTAGTACGTTACATTTTCAGGACAAGGAAACTAGAAAGGGCTCTCAAAATCAAAGATGTGTTATGTTCTTCGCTCACTGAGAAACTAGATGTTATGAGGGAAGAAAAGACTTCGAGAACAACGGATTATGCGTCGAGAAACATGAATAACAACAGAGTCAGTAGTAATAACTGCTCACAGCTGGGAGAGGAATGTAACGGTTACAGCTGTGGTGCTAATGAACCAGATTCGACACGAGAGCAAATAAGAAGTGCTCAAAATGAAGGAAACAAGGAGAAAATGGACAAGACGGTGGGGAGTGGCAGTGTTATTTGTTCAAACGAAGGGCGTGTTCTGAAGACGAAACTCGAGAATGTGGAGAAAGAATGCAATCAGATGAAAGATGAACTGAACAAAGCTTGTACAGAAAAATCACAGGTAAAGATAGAGAAAATAAAGACTCAAGACTTGAGCTTGAATATTAGCTTAAACCTTGCAATCATAGTGAACGGAAGCTGAAACTAAAGAATTGAAGCGTCTAAAACTTTAAAACACAAGTAGAGTTTGCTTCTTAAGCTAATAATAATATAGGTGAAAAAATTACTCGATTCTGATTGGCTGAGAGCAGTGCAGTTTAAGTGTAACACCAGTGCAAAAAGTGTAACACCAGTGCAAAAAGTGTAACACCAGTGCAAAAAGTGTAACACCAGTGCAAAAAGTGTAACACCAGTGCAAAAAGTGTAACACCAGTGCAAAAAGTGTGACACCAGTGCAAAAAGTGTAACACCAGTGCAAATTACACATCG